TGAGGGACAGCGCCCAGGCCCAGAGTTCAGGCCCCACAACCAGACCAAAAAAAAAAAAAAAGAAATTTAAGGTCAGCTGGGCGCCGGTGGCTCACACCTGTAATCCTAGCTACTCAGGAGGCTGAGATCTGAGGATTGCAGTTCAAAGCCAGCCCAGGCAGGAAAGCCCGCGAAACTCTATTCTCCAATAAACCACCAGAAAACCGAAAGTGGCGCTGTGACTCAAGTGGTAGAGCGCTAGCTTTGACCCGAAGAGCTAAGGGACAGCCCCCAGGCCCAGAGTTCAAGGCCCACGATTGACAAAAAAAAAAGAAAAAAAGAAATTTAAAGTCAAACTCTCAGGAGCCTTGACTTGTGGTCCAAGGAGATGGGACTTTACCTGGGGACACGGGGAAGGCACTGAAGGTTGGAGCACAGGAGAGAGGCAAGATGAGGGCAGGGCTTTCTAAAGACCCAGCCCTCTGTAGGGTGTAGCACATGGGCCACAGCAGGGCAGGTGGAGGTAGGAGACCAAGTAGGAGGCTGTGGCAATGATGCAGGTACACGATTTGGGGGAGGAAGTGTCCGATGTGGTAGCCGGTGGCTCTGAGCCTGAGCAAGGTGGAAGGAACGTGGCCTGGCTCTATCATCAGCTGAGAGTTCAGGAAGGGGGGGTGACACCTTTAGCTCCTTCCCTTCTTCTCTGGCCCCAGGGGACCCAGGCTCCTGACCTGCACATTTAGTGTGTCTCGGTCGTACTCGATCACCCGGATGCCTGGATTGTTGGCCCCATTGACAACTCCAGGTAACGTGGTTTTCCACGGAGTGACCCCGGGTGTGAGGAACATGACGCTCACGGGAGCACCTTTAAGGAGAAAGGTAGCAAGGCTCAGGGAGGCTGGGCATTGGAGGCCAGCAGGAGCCAGGCGCCCTCCATCTCCTACCTGCATCATCATAGAACATCCGAAAGCTGTCGGTGTGGTGGTGCCCAAAGAACTGTGCAGCTATGACGCGGTGGAACCTGCGGACCAGCTGCAGGTAGGCCACATTGAAGTCCTCCCGGAACCAGGCCTTGTTCCGTGTCTTCTCAAAGAAGCCTGGAGGCACGTGGCCAATAATGTACACCTGACAGGAAAGGGGGCAGAGGAGCAGAGCTGAGATGTCCCCCCTACTCCCTCCTCTCAAAGCCTGGCCATGTTCCTTCCCGCAGGCTCAAATCATCTCCTCCCTCCAAACCCAGATCTAACAGCACCTCCTCCAGGAAGCCTTCCTGACCCCTCAAAGACCGGGCTTGGAGAGCGCAGGTCATTCTTGCATGGTTGTGGAGCGTAAGCTGTGATTATACGATCTTGTCTTACATTCCCTGAGTCACTTGGCTAGCAGGACCAGGGCACTTGGCCACCATTGCAGGAGGCAGAACAGAGTGGGATTTGAAGTATGAGCTCATCTGCACACTGGTGGCTCATACCTGGCCTTTCCTGCCCGAGCTGGCTTTGAACCACAATCCTCAGCTCTCAGCCTCCTGAGTAGCTGGGATTACAGGTGTGAGCCACCATACTTAGCTAGATTTTTTTTTAAGTCAGCTGTGGGGCTTCAACTCAAAGCCTGGGCACTGTCTCTGAGCATTTTCACTCCAGAGTAGCATTCTAGTACTCTGAGCCACAGAACCTCTTCCAGTTTTTCTGATGGTTCATTAACTCCAAGGGCTGGCTTTGAACCATGATCCTCAGATCTCGGGCTCCTGAGTAGCTAGGATTACAGGCAGGAGTCACTGGCACCTGGTGCTTTTTTTCCTCCTCATGTTTAACTGGAGATAGGCATCTCACAGACATTCCTGCCCTGGCTGGCTTCAAACCTCCATCCTCAGATCTGACCTTCCAGAGTGGCTAGGATTACAGGCATGAGCCACCAATGCCTGACTTTCATAGGGATCTTAGAAGGGAAGGAGCCACTCCCAGTGCTCCTCTGCCTGGCCCTGTAGAACCCTGGAGGATGTGAGCAGGGGCGAGGGAGTGGATGTGTTCGTGCTGAATGAAGACTTGTCCTCAAAGTACCCAGAAAGGGAGGAGGAAGAAGCAGGCGCCCTCACCATCTCCCCAGCTTGGGATGCATTGCTCAACACCTCTTCCAGCCACTGGAACTGCCGGGCCGGGTCAGCCATGCCGGCTGTCTGTTGGTTGTTGCTGTAGTATAGATTGGTATTGAGAACCACAACTCTCCCTGCCCTGCTGAGACCCGGCAGCTTCTCAGAATAGAAGGCACCTGTGATGGCACAACCAGAGAGAGCCTGAAGGTGGTCTTTGTCCTGCCCACCTCTCTCCACCTCCCCGCCAACCCCACAGCCTTCCTCCCCTTCCTTCCCACAGGAAGGCTGCCAGGCTTCCTGGGTTCAAGTCCTGGCTCTGTTGCTCTTTAGCTGTGCCCCTTGGAAAAGTGACTTCACTACACCATGCTATTTCCTCATCTGTATAATGGAAATAAAATGGAATGTGTTTGTATATCCAGGCTCATCGTGAACTGCCCTCCATGCAGGAACTGGCCCAGGAACTGACCTATTTAGGTCATAGTCCAGGATGTGTGCAGAGAAGAGAGAAGAGACAGGTTGCCTGGGGCTGGCTATGCCTCTAGACTATTGAGGTGTTTTTTATTTTTATTTTTGGCAGTCTTAGGGCTTGAACCCTGGACCTGGGGGTGCTGTCCTTAAGCTTTTGGGATCGAGGCTAGCACTCTATCACTTAAACCACAGCTCCACTTCCAGCTTTTTATAGTTAATTGGAGATAAGAGTCTCACAGATGGGGCTGGGAAGGTGGCTCAGTGGTAGAGCGCTTGCCTTGCATGCTCGAGGCCCTGGGTTCGATTCCTCAGCACCACATAAGCAAAAAGAAAAAAGCCAGAAGTGGCTCTGTGGCTCAAGTGGTAGAGCGCTAGCCTTGAGCTGAAGAGCTGAGGGATAGCGCCCAGGCCCAGAGTTCAGGCTTCACGACCGGACCAAAAAAAAAAAAAAGAGTCTCACAGATTTTTCTACTAGGTCTAGCTTTGAACCAAGATCCTCAGATCTCAGAAACCTGAGTAACTAGGATTACAGGTATGAATCAGGTCTTTAGCACCCAGCTTAGACTAGCCATTTTTTCAGAGTTTTTTGTTTTGTTTTGTTCTTTATCATGGGAGTTGAACTCTGGGCCTGGGCACTGTCTCTGAGCTCTTCAGCTCAAAGTGAGCACTCTACCACTTGAGCCACAGCATTCTGGTTTTCTGGTTTTACTTCTGGTTTTCTGGTGGTTTATTGGAGATAAGACTCTCATGAACTTCTCTGCCTGGGCTGGCTTTGAATCTTGATCCTCAGATCTCAGCCTCCTGAGTAGCTAGGCTTACAGGCATGAGCCACCGGCACTCAGTAGACTAGTAGTTGTTAAACAGGAGTATTTGACAATGTCTAGAGAATTGTGTGTGTGTGTGTGTGTGTGTGTGTGTGTGTGTGTGTGTGTGTGTGTGTGTGTGTGTGTGTGTGTGTGTGTGTGTAGTGCATGTGGGGCCTGAGGCTAGAACTCAGGGCCTGGAAACAGTCTCTTGTGCTTTTTATTTTCCCTCAAGGTTAGCACTCTACTACTTGAGCCACAGTTCTACATCTGGCTTTTCTAATGCTTAGTAGGAAATAAGAGTCATAGATTTTCATACCCAGGCTAGCTTCAAACCACAATCCTCAGATCTCAGCCTCCTGAGTAGCTAGGCATGAGCACGAGCCACTGGTGTCTGGCTGGGATTTGTTGTTGTGTTGTCGTCACAATAGGAAGTGTTACACTGGCATCTAATGAAAAGAGACCTGAGATGATGCCAAGCTTCCTATAACACATAGGGGCTCCCAGGAGAAAACAGTTACCACATTGGATGATCAGTAGCAGTGAGATTCAAGCTGGCTTGAGATGAAGGCCCCCGCTTTTCCCTAGGACTGCTGTAGTCTGCTGTCACGCTGAGGACAGTGTCTGGCACACAGTAACTGCTCAATAGATACTGTTTTGGGAAGCTAAGCACTGGTGACTCATATCTGTAGTCCTAGTTACTCAGGAGGCTGAGATCTGAGGATCATGGTTCAAAGCCTGCCCACACAGAAGAAGACTATGACACTCAAGTCCAAATAACCAGCAAAAAGTTAGAAATAGGGGCTGGGAATGTGGCTTAGTGGTAGAGTGCTTCCCTAGCATTCATGAAGCCCTGGGTTCAATTCCTCAGTACCACGTAAACAGAAAAAGCCAGAAGTGGCACTGTGGCTCAAGTGGTAGAGTGCTAGACTTGAGCAAAAGAAGTTCAGGGACAGTGCCCAGGCCCTGAGTTCAAACCTCAGGACTGGGGTTGGGGAGGGGGGGCGGAGTTAGAAGTAGAGGCATGCCTCAATTGGTAGAGCACTGGCCCTTGAGCAAAGAAATCTAAGTAGGAGCTCACGGCTCCAAGTTCAAGCCCCAGTACTGGCATAACTTTACACTCACTGGTTTCTATTCCTTAACAGTGCTCAGGGCTCAGAACATAAGCCTCAGATTCTGTCCTAGATTCTGTTCTCAAGCCTGCCTTTGCCAAGTGACTGTGTCTCAGTCTGCTAATGTGTGAGCTGGAAATAAATATCTGTACTGATTTTAAGGGGTTGGGAAAATGAGATCAAAATCTGACACATAGTATGTGCTCCAATGTCAGTGATACCTTTTTTGAAGAGAGCAATGGATTCATTACTAAGCCACGGTCGCCATAGTTCTGCTACTTGATTGTAGATATTGTTGCTCCCTGCTGGGAACTGGTTTTTAGGGTGAAAGTCGTGGTTTCCCAAAGCAGCATAGACTTTAGTGTCTGGGAAGAAAAGAAGAAATATTCAGAAACGATTCCAAAGCACTTGGTAGGTGTCACGTTCTCTTGCAGCCGACCAGCACAACCAGCGGGGATCTGATTGCATCTGTCTGGCTGAGCTTTGCCTGGGGAGGAAGTTGCCTGGTCTGGTCCCTAACCACTTTCCTCGCAAGAAATTTCCTGGTCAGAGAGGAGACAGCTTGTGATAAGGAAACTAGGGATTTGTTGGCATTTCAGCCATTTGGTAATTCAGGGTCCTCTACTTTTGTCAATTGCACATCCATCTTCTGGACTGGGAAGGTGGCTTAGTGGTAGAGCGCTTGCCTAGCATGCATGAGGCTCTGGGTTCAATTTCTCAGTACCACATAAACAGAAAAGGCCAGAAGTGGCACTGTGGCTCAAGTGCTAGCCTTGAGCAAGAAAGCTCAGGTACAGCACCCAGGCCCTGAGTTCAAGCCCCTGAACTGGCAAAACAACAATAACAAAAAGAAAAACAACAACAAAAATAGATCCATCTTCTGGGGTTGATGTGTCTGGCTCATTCTTGAGTTTTATTCTTTTTTTTTTTTTTTTTTGGCAGGGGGGTCATGGCGCTTGAACTCTGGGCCTGTGCACTATCCCTTAGCTCTTCAGCTCAAGCCTTTTGCTCTACCACTTGAGCCACAGTGCCACTTCTAGCTTTTTCTGCTTATGTGGGTGTTGAGGAATCGAACCCAGGTTCCTCATGCATGCAAGGCAAGCAGTCTACCACTGAGCCACCTTCCCAGCCCCAGTTTTATTCATTCCTATAGCCAGTAAATATTGCCTACTGAACACCTACTGTGTGCCAGTGCATAAAGCTTGGAACCAGGTTTGTAAGCCCAGTTCCAGGGGTCTGGCAGTATACTAGGTTGTCAGGTAGTGGGTGATCAGAGGTAAGGGCTGTCACAAGAAGGGAAGGAAGGGCTGTTTCCTGTGGAGTATGGGTATCAGGGGAGGGCTCCCTGAGGAAGCAGCCTGTGTCTGAGACCACAAAGTACAGGGGAACCCAGCTGACTCATCGCCTCTTTGTGAACCACTTCATTCCTGCTTTCATTTTAGCCTCTGTGTCTGGCAGGTAGTAGATGGTCAATAAATAATTGACAATAAACAAAAATATCTCGCCAAAAAAGATTACATGCCTGTAATCCTAGCTACTCAGGAGACTGAGATCTAGAGGATCATGGTTGAAGCCAGCCAGGGCAGAAAAGTCCATAAGACTCTCCAAAATAACCATCAAAAAAAAACATGGCGGGGCTGGGAAGGTGGCTCAGTGGTAGAGCACTTGCCTTGATGCCTGAGGCCCTGGGTTCGATTCCTCAGCACCACATAAGCAAAAAGAAAAAAAAGCCAGAAGTGGCGCTGTGGCTCAAGTGGTAGAGTGTTAGCCTTGAGCTGAAGAGCTGAGGGACAGCGCCCACACCCAGAGTTCCGGCCCCACGACCGCACCCAAAAAACAAAAACAAAAAACATGGCTAAGCCAGGTGTTGGTGGCTCGGCTGTAATCCAAGCTACTCAGGAGGCTGAGATCTGAGAATTGCGGTTCAAAGCCAGCACAGGCAGGAAGGTCCATGAGACTCATATTTCCAATTAACCATCAGAAAGCCAGAAGTGGAGCTGTGGCTCAAAGTGCTAGCACTAGTCTTGAGAGAAAAAGAACTCAGGGATACCACCCAGACCTTGAGTTCAAGCCCTATGACTGACCAAAAAAAGCAAGGCTGGAGACATGGATCAAATGGTAGTACTAGTGAAGCAAGCAGGCCAAACCACTACTACGCTGTGAAGTTACAGCCTGGTATGCAAGGGAAAGGAGGGGAGGGGAAAGAAGGGAAGGGGAAGGGAGCAGAGTGGCACATCCCAGAGAGTAACTGAACCAGTATGGAAGGCTGGAGGCTGGAGGCTGGAGCCGTTTCCAGCAGAGAATTCGTTCTAACAAGCCCTGTGTGTTGTACAAACTACAAGAACTGGGAATTTTGCAATCTCTACCTAAGTGGGAAAGCACTGTGTATTATGTATTGTTCCATTTTTGTCTTAGCAGTACATAAAACAATGATACATCTTACAGCCAATGGCATCTTGGCTATTGGGAAATTCTTGGCTATTGGGAAATAAATGTGTCAACATGTCACAGACTACAAAACCTTATCATTCACATGTATGTGTACAGTCATGGTGAATAAAGCATTTTCCTACCGACCATGTCACTTTAATTCCAGAAACCCTGTGTAGAGCAGAGGAAAGAAGCTCCAAGCTAGATCTGGGTTTGAATCCCTCCCTAGGAAGTGACTGGCTGGGAGCTGTAGTTCCTCATCTATACTATTTCTTTGGTCTTGGGGTCTTGAGCTCTGGGCCTGGCCACTGTCCCTGAGCTCTTCAGCTCAAGGTGAGCACTCTACCACCTGAGCCACAGCACCACTTCCAGTTTTCTGGTGGCTAATTCGAGATAAGAGTCTCACGGATTTTCCTTCTGGCTGGCTTTGAACCAAGATCCTCAGATCTCAGCCTCCTGAGTAGCTAGGATTATAAAGTGTGAGCCATTGTGGCCTGGCTCCTTGTCTATACTTTATAGGTGATAATAAGGATGAGCACGAGGCCCAGTGACCTCTGCTAGAGAAAGAAGGAATGAGACTAACTGGGTGGGACTTGCTGGGCAGATTTGGGGCAGCAGGAAGCCTCCTGGAATCCTTTTCATAAATTGATTTCCATTGTAGGTGGGGTGGTAGGGATCGGCGGGTAGGAACCATGCTTAAACCAGGAGTCAGGATTCTACACTGGCCACCTGACCTAAACCACCTAACTGGCTCACAGAATTCCCAAATAAAAATGAACTGGTTACAACTCATCTGTAATTTTCTTTCTTTCTTAAATAAAATTTTTTATTGTGAAAATACCATACAGAGGGGTGACAATTACATGAGCAATGTAATGAGTACATTTCTTATCAAGCATTGCATTGTTGCCTCCTCCTTTGTTTTTCCCCTACCATCCCTTCCCTTCCATCTCCACAACTACACTCTCCCCCTCTCCCCCCTGTAATTTTCATGACAAAGAATGAACTTAAGAGCTGTGCCCACGACACAGCACTTTATATTTACAGTTATTCATGTTGCTATTATTTTTACTGCTATTACTTCACAACTATGGTCTTTTAACAGATGTACTAGAACTGAAGTGGGGGGGGGGCTGATGGGAGCTCCTTCGGTCCCCGGCTGGCATCTCCCACTTTGTGTTTGGCCCAGCTCACTTAAAACTATTTCAGCCAGGCACTGGTGGCTCATAGTTAAAATCCTAGGTACTCGGGATTGAGTTCAAAACCAGCTGGGGCAGGAAAGTCCAAGACACTCCAATTAATCAAATAAAGCACCAAGTAGGACAGTGGCCCAAGTGGTAAAACGCCAGCCTTGAGCATAGAAGCTCAGGGACAGTGCCCAGGCCCTGAGTCCAAGCCCCAGGACCAGCACGCACATACACAAAAGACCATCAGATGGACACAACCCTCCTCTCCATGTTGTCTCCCACAGAACAGCACCCTCCTGAGCCCTGCCCAGAGGCCCTGGCAGCCTCGGCTGGAAGGCAGCATCTCCCAGAGGCCCTGGCAGTCAGGATGGTTTGAGGACAGCTTGTGCTAAATCCAGGGCTAAACCAGTACGCAAGGGCTATGTGTGCACCCTGTACATCTGGGGACGCCTGGGTGTAATGACAGACTCTGTGGGAAAGGTGGTAAACAGAAGACATTGAAACAGCATTGCCTCTGGTGGAGGTCTAAGTGTCCACAGGCCTGGGAGCTGTTGTGGCCCAAAGGGGGTCGTCAGAAAAGTAAGGAACCAGCCGGGCACCAGTGGTTTATGTTTAATCCTAGCTACTCAGGAAGCTGAGATCTAAGGATGGAGGTTCAAAGCCAGCCTGGGCAGGAAAGTTCATGAGACTCATCACCAATAAACCATGAGAAAACTGGCAATGGCACTGTGGCCAAAGTGGTAGAGTGCTTGCCTTGAGCTGAAGAGCTCAAGACAGCGCCCAGGCCCAGAGTTCAAACCCCATGACCAACAAAACAAAAAGAAAAGGAATCAGCTGTACCACATCTGAGACCTGGGCAGCAGCCATCCTTGTCAGTGGACCGAGTGTGGACTCCAGTCACCCTGCTGGCACAAGCCAGGCCCGCTTGAGTTCAGGGACAGGTGCAGACTTACCCGGAAACACCTCCCTGATGAGGGTGGTCAGGAGCTGCACAATCCTCAGCACCGCCTCCTCTCCCAGGCTCTCGTTGGGCACATGAGGTGTGTCATCCCTGCAAAACACCACCATGCCCTTGGAATGGGCAAGGCAGGAAGGGGCAGCTCCGCAGAGAGGCGCTGGAGACCTGGGCCTCGCAAGCCCACAGGTGTGGGCATGGAGAGACTGGACTGGAGTCAGACCAGAGAGTTCAAACCCAGCTTCTGCCAACTATCTATCTGCCTGCTGTGGGGCTCCTTGACTAAGTCTCTATACACTCATCTGTAAAACAGGAAATAATATGTACCTACAGCTAGAGAATTTGTAAAACGTCCTATAAAGGAGAAAAAAATATATATGTATATATATTTATATATACATATATTATGTATATTATATATACATATATTATATATGTATATAATGTAGTAATAGCAATTATTATTAATATTATTGTTTTTTCTTTCAGGTAGTAGTAGGGGGGTGGTTTTTTGAAGGGGTTTTTTTTGGTTGTTTGTGGTGGTGGCTATGGGGCTTGAACTCTGGTCCTGGGCACTGTCCCTGAGCTCTTCATCTCAAGGCAGGTGCTCTACCACTTGAGCCACAGTGCTACTTCTAGTTTTTCTGGTGGTTAATTGGAGATAAGAGTCTCATGGTAGCTGGGCATTGTTGGCTCACGCCTGTAATCCTAGCTACTCAGGAGGCTGAGATCTGAGGATCAAGGTTCAAAGCCAGCCCGGGCAGGAAAGTCCGTGAAACTCTTATCTCCAATAAACCACCAGAAAACCAGAACTGGTGCTGTAGCTCAAGTGGTAGAGTGCTCGCTTTGAGCTGAAGAGCTGAGGGACAGCGCCCAGGCCCAGAGTTCAAGCCCTATGACTGACAAAAAAAAAAAAAGTCTCATGGACATTCCTGCCCGGGCTGGCTTTGAACCGTGATCCTCAGATCTCAGCCTCCTGAGTAGCTAGGATTACAGGCGTGAGCCACCAGCGCCCGGCTAACCTTGAGCTTTTGAGCAAAAAGCTTAAGGACAGCACCATGTGTTCAAGGCCTACAATGGGCATGTGTGTGTATGTGTGTGTGAGCGTACGATGGCATAACTTTTTTTTTCCTTGATGGTATGGTGAATTAAAGGCCTATACTTGCTAGATATGAGTATTACCACTTGAGCCAGGCCACCAGCCCTGTGTGTGTCTGTGTGTGTACCAGTACTGGGGCTTAAACACAGGGCTTGCCCTCTCACTATACTTTTATACTTGAAGCTTAGTCCTCAAGCACTTGAACCACAGCTTTATTTCTGGCTTTTGGGGTTAACTGGGATAAGAGTCTCATGGACTATTCTGCCTGGGCTGGTTTCAAACTGCAATGCTCAGATCTCAGCCTCTTAAGTAGCTAAGATAATAGATATGAGCCATTGGCACTTGACTTCCATTTTTTTTTTCTTTGTCAGTTATGAACTGGGTGCTGGGGCGCTATCCCTACAAAGCCAGCATTCTACCACTTGAGCCACAGTGCCACTTCCAGTTTTTTGGTGGTTCAAACTAGGATTATAGGCATGAGCCACCAGCAGCTGGTGTGCCTTTAATTTTAATTTTTTAAATGAGCGGTTTACTTTCAAGATGATACAGAATGCAAGAGTAGAACAAAGAGCAGACTCTGGCGGGAACCTAGGCTGGGTTTACTTGATAGTTACAGCTGAGGTAGCAATGGCTGATACAACGGCTGACAAACTAGAGACTGAGCCACGGTAGGATTTTTTTTTAAAGGTTGTTCTTAATGTTCAGAGTCCTAGACAAAACTTCATTCTACCTTTAGGTGGCAGAAATGTTACGACAGGAAATCCAGATGTTGAATGGGAATGGAATCAAGGGTCACCATCATCTCAGGGACAACAAACAGCTTACTTTTTGCCAGACTTCTTCATTCCACCTGTGGCGAGGGGCCCCTTCCCCGCGGCCTTCGCTTTCAGCTCCTCGAGTTTCTTCTGCTCCTCTGTCTGTTTCTGCTTGAAGGCCTTGTCTTCCTCATGCATCTCCTTGGCCTGCTTCTTGGGCTGCTTCAGGGGCTTCTTCTTGCCACCTTCGCAGCCAGACATGATGCCAGCAGAGCCTTCGCCCAGACCCTCTTTATTTTTAACTTGGTAAAGAAGTGTGTGTGTGTGTGTGTGTGTGTGTGTGTACTGGTCCTGGGTCTTGTCCTTGAGCTCTTTTGCTCTAGGCTAATACTCTTCCACTTGAGCCACAGCTCCACTTCCAGCTTTTTTGTTGGACATAAACTATTTAGTTCATGGTTTTGAAGGCTAGAAGTCGAAGGCACATGGTGTGGTTTCTGGTGAGGGCCCTCTTGTTTGAAGCACGTCATAGTAGAAGTGTGCATGTATCTCTCTAGTATTATTATTATTGTTATTATTTGGGAAAGGAAGCTCCAATCTCATCTGCACCCCCAGGAAGCTCAGCCAGGGCCGTCTAGGGCCCTCATGTAGTTAGTCTTTCCCCTCCTCCTGCGGCCCCTTGGAATGCTATTCCTGGTGGCTCCCAAGTCTGAGTACCTTCCAGTCCTCCTCATCAGATCCTTTGGCTCACAACTTCCTGCCAGAAGTCCTCTCCATCCTGCTGCACAGGTCAGAGTGTCTGACCCAATGGCCAAAGACTTGTCTCTATTGCCTTTTTTCTTTGGGGGGCGGGGGGAGGTTGGTCATGGGGCTTGAACTCAGGGCCTGACTGTGGTCTCTGAGCTTTTTTTGCTCAAGGATAGTCCTCTACCACTTTGAGCCACAGTGATACTTCTACTTCCAGTTTTCGGTGGTTAATTGGAACTAAGAATCTCATGGACTTTCCTGCCTGGGCTTTGAACTGCGATGCTCAGACCTCAGCCTCCTGAGTAGCTAGGATTGCAACAGGCATGCACCACCAGCACCTGGCCTCTGTGGCCTTCTTGAAGGCAAGTCTGCACCTCTGCATCCTCTACCCCGGTGGTAGCCTGTGACGGGAGGCCTGTCAAGTGAGGGAGGAAGCAAGTACCTGGGAAAGGTAAAGGTCCCCAGTATCCTTGGAGAAGCAGAAACTGAGTCTCTGAGGCCAGGCAGTGCTAGCAGCACCAAACCATGAACACTCTTTAGGGCCATTGTGCAGCCCAGGAGTGGCTAGCAGCTGTCCAGAGGGACACTGAGTGCACGCTGGACCATGTTGCTTCTGGTTCCTTCTTCCCTGCCTGCATTTGGACAAGTAGCTCAGGGTCCATCCTCAGCTTAATTAAACCTACATGCCCTCTGCTCGCTCGCGTCCCCAGCATCCCCGGCCATGGCTGCTGCAGCCATAGACACAGTTCACAGGCCATCTTGGAGACTCACCAGGGATGCCTGGACAAGTGACAAAGGGCCGATGTGAGAGTCAGGAGACACATAGGTTACAGCCTGGCTGGTGCATGGCACAGCAGGTCACCAGGGAAGAGGGACTTCAGAAGGGCTGCTCTTACCCTGTCCAGAGAATGAAGTCTGGCTTCGGCTCAATCTCCTTCATGGCATAGATGGAGGAGTTGATGAGGGTCCAGGGAGAGTCACAGAGATAATCACCCCAGGGCCCCGCACTGGGCACGGGCTGGGAGCCGGCTGATGGGCACACCTGGAGCGGATCTTTGGTCACTGTGTAGTTGGGGTCGAGGTGTAAGTCAGAGATGTGCCAGAACTTCCCTGGAGGGAAAAGAAACAGTCAGTGCTGGCGCCCCTCAGCCTGCATGAGGAGTGGATCTGGAGGATCCTGGGCTGGGAACGAGGCGTTGTCCAGGGAAAACCAAGGTTTCCTCTGGGAACCCAAGTTAAAGGAAGGTCCACAGCTTGCCTTAGCCAGGGAGGGCATGGATCTATGACCTCTATGACCTCTATGACCTTTGGCTATGCCCTTTCTATTGCCCAGGACAGCTCCCCAGCAGCAGCACGAGGCATGGAGCCTCAGGAGTCTCAAGACTCTTTGAGTCTTGATGTGCTTGGTTTCAAGCAAAGACAAGAGACCTGTAGAAGTGAATCACTTCTTTAGATCCATACGAGTTGTGTGAACTGTATTGCTCCCTGAGCCCATCTCTAAAGCCAGACTCTATCATACACTAGTGAAATAAAGGAAAATCTGATCTGAAGGGCAGATGCTGTGTCTCACATCTGTAATCAAAGCTACTTGTGGGAGGGGGAGGGGTAAATTGTGAGGATTAGTGAGTGTCCGTGGTTCAGCACTGCAATCCTAGCTACTCAGGGGGCTAAGATCTGAGGTTCGTGGTTCAAAGCCAGCTGAGGCAGGAAGGTTCAATAAACTACTTAAAAAAGATGGAAGTAGGGGCTGGGAAGGTGGCTCAGTGGTAGAGCGCTTGCCTTGCATGCCTGAGGCTGGGTT